ACCTCAACTGTACATTACTTTGATATTGCCTTCTCTGGTAAAGATTGATTTTTTAAAGAATGCTTCGTTAGTTGAAAGCATATTCTCGCTATCTTAGGTTTTTTAATTATGTTTTGAACTTGGATACCTCAACAAGTATTAGAGCCTCATAATTTCCTGCATCTTTATGACTGGATTTTGCAAATATATCACAATTTTAAATACCAACCTGTTGGATTTGCGTGAATACTTAACCAATTATACTTCTTTTTCTCTATAGCATCATAATTATTTTATTTTTGGTTATGCACTGAGTCTATACTGCATGTTTTTGTCCGTTACATCTGTCTAGCAGTTCCTACTTGTCCTTAAATAGTATGTTTGTTAGTCTACTCCTTTAATCCTATTTTATGCCATTTCTAGATGACTTATATTTCTTTTTTTTCAAGTATACTTTTATATCATTTTTTTAAATTCCTTTAGGCTATCGTGGGGCCTGTATTTCTGCTGTTCATCTCCGGAGTATGCTTGCTGAGTTAGGCTGCATCTGTATCCCTGATATATTGAATATTCCCTACGTGACTAAACGCATTGACGAAGACGGAAATTTAGACATTACTTGTCCAGAAGGCAAAGATTTAGATGCGCACTTTGATTTGTTGCTAACTCAACTTATTTATGTATCTGAGGCTATGAAAAAACAAAAGGAAGTTTATATGGCTTCTGGAAAAGCGATGCCGAAGTTGCATCCATACCTTTAATGCCTTCTCCACAAGTGAATAATGATCTTAGTCTTTTGCAATTTATTATCCCTCTAATTTCTTTCGTATTACTTAATGCTATTCAGTTAATAAATATAATATATGACTTGAAAAAGACTTGTCAAATTCGCATCCTACGTATTTTTGGTAACTTTAATAGCCTATTATCTTTATTCTCTAGCAGCATCTGAATCTTTATATCCTACAATTTTTTATCCCGTGGTTCTAGTGTTCTGGCAATCCTAGTCCCTTGTTTCATTAAAGTAAAAAAGAGTATGGACAGCGGGCGAGTGACTGTAGTGGCATGTCTCTGGTTGCCTTAATCACGAGGTTGCTTTGGCTGGCACATGTTTGGGAGTTCCTGGTGTTGATGATTCCATAGTATGTACCTCATTGGGGAGCTGCGATAAAGAGGATAGGTCTTGGCCTGATAAAGCCCTGTGAGCCATTGTATCTTTAAGCGACATGCAAAGAGCCTTCTGATTAGCGTCGGGGGTCTATTTAGATTCGGTTCTGTGAAATATGGAAAGGTCCCCGATCGACGTTCTATTTACTTACATGAACAACGTTGACACCCTTTGTAATTATTTGAATTGCCAGCTGATTTTATTCAAATTTGCACATCCTGGCCTCTCATTAAGCACTTTAATAG